CCTCTCCCTCTGAAACACCGCCCCAGCGCAGAGCACCGCCACGCCCCCCCCCCCGCCTCTGCTCAGCCCTCACCTGCGCCTCCTCTGCCTTGGCCACCTTGAAGAGGGCCAGCCCCAGGTCACCACACACAGCCCCCAGCCGGTCAAGACGGTCAACAACACGCTCCGCCTGGCAACAGAGGGAGGAACAGCGAGGCACCATGCACGCGAGCAAGTTTGCGTGTTAGCACGCGCACGTGTCATTCCGGTGCTGTGGTGGTGGACTCACGCCCAAACGGCAGGCGCAGGCTGCTGCGCTGGTGCGGATCGCACCGCGTCCGCGAGTCGAGGGCGCGACATGCCGCGGTCACTCCAAGACGCATCCGCCCCTCACGGCGCACCCCCCAATGCGGCCCCACCCCCCGCCCGGCGTCCACGCGCGTGCACATGCGTGCTCGCGTGTGTGCGTGTGTTCTCACCGCCCTGCTGGTGGCCACGAGGCACTCCCTCATCTCCTCCGCCACCTCCTTGGCGCGCCGCAGCTCTGACTCCTCACCAGGCACCTCCTGGACACCGCCACGCAGCCCAACAGCAGCCTGCAACAACAGAGACACACACACGCGAGGCGGTGTTGCATGCGTGTGCGCGCGCGTGTGCATGCGTGCATGTGCGTGCATGTGCGTGCGTGCGTGTGGGGCGTGCGTGCGTGAGCGTGCGTGTGCGTGCGTGCGTGCGTGTGCGTGCGTGCGTGCGTGCGTGCGCGCGCGCGTGTGTGTGTGTGTGTGTGTGTGTGTGTGTGTGTGTGTGTGTGTGTGTGTGTGTGTGTGTGTGTGTGTGCGCGCGCGCACCCAACCCCCCTTGCCGATGCCGGTCATGCACAGTCAGCTCTCGCAGCGGCATCGTGAGCGGAGTGTGCGAATAATCCAGCCTCCGGGAGCGCCTCGCGTTTTGCCCTTGAGCCACACACTATGCCGCATAAACGCGCAGACACCACGACACCCCCAGCCCCGCCCAGCTGGCCCCAGCCCCGCCGCCCTACCTCCTTCATGGCGCGCATCAGGTCCTTGGACCGAGCAGCAGGGGCCGCCGCCGCCACAGGGTCCACCACCTGGCATAGGCCGCGAGGCAGAGAGGCCCGCGTTGAGAGCGGGGGGCTGCTCGCTGCCCCTGCCACGCGCTCCACCTGGACCAGGCCAACCTGGTGCGAGGCTGGGGTGACGCACCCTGCTGTACGCCCCGACCGCTGCTGCCAAAACAGCCGCGGCAGCCAACCCCTGCGGCAGCCCCCCCGCCCCGCCCGGCCGCCGCGCGCGGCCCCACCTTGCTCTCGCGGCCTATGAGCTGCATGCTGAACTTGGCTGTGCCCTCCAGCACGCTGGCCGCGGGCGGCGCCAGCCCAGACCACTGGATCGACGAAGCCAGGTCCCCGGGGGTCTCCAGGAACAGCCGCAGCTCCTGGTGAGGGGCGAGGGGGAGGGGGGTGGGGTTCCAGGCCGCGTAGCGCGCGTGAGGTTGTTGAGTGGAAGGCAGTGGGAAAGGCGCCGAGAGCTTTCGACTTCGAGGTCTGTCGCGGCAGCGCGCGCATGACGTGAGGCGCCTCTGTGCAGCCGAGCGCAAGAGGTGCGACGTGGAAGCAGGCCGAGCCAGGGCCGACAAAGAGTCACCACCCTGCCCCAGCCGGCCGTGCCCCTCGGCGAGCAGCGGAAGAGGCACGTCGCGCAGCGAGGCCGCAGCGCGGGTTGTGTTGGGGCGTCATCCCGGCCGACCTCGCTGCGGCCGATGACGGGGTGCGCCGCCAGCCGCTGCATGTAGCGCTGCAGCGCCGCGCGCCGCTCCTCCAGGAATGCGTCCGTCATGCGCTGCCCCTCCACCGCGTTCTTCTCCGGGCGCGGCGGGGCAAAGTAGCCGCGGTACCGCGCCTGGGGGCGGTTGGGTGGTTGGGTGGTTGGGTGCGGCACGCTCCATTGACAGGGGCCGCGGTCGTGACCAGTGATGTGTTGTGGTGTTGAAGCTGGAGGCGATGCACACCGCCTCATCACAGGCCCTGCTGTTCCTGGCCGTGTGTAGGTTCGGTGCACACGCAGCCGCGCCACAGCAACAGGGGCCAACAGGCGCCGCCTCAGCCAACAGGGGCTGAGCCACACAGTGGGGCCGTCCCCCCCCAAAAAAAAACACCACTGGGCCCCGCCTCGCCTTGATCATGTCTGCGAGCCCCACAAAGTCCCTGAAGCGGCGCCGCACTGACACCTCCTGGCTGCTCCAGCCCGGCAGGCTGGCCCGGGTCACCACCAGGTACGTCACGTGGGACCCTGGGGCCAGGGGGTGAGGCGGAGGGCGACAGGGGGGTGCGTAGCGGATGGCCGGTGGTTGGAGGGTTCGGGGAAGGTAACATAGAAGGTTGTCATTGGGGCGCGTGCGATGCCTGTAATTTGTATGTGGGGGGTGGGGGCGGAGGGGGCGCAAAGAGCCTGGCATGTGAAGGGGTGACGCGGCGGCCAAGCAGCTGGCGTGGAGCAGAGGCTGCAAATTTGTGGCCCGCGGAGCCGGTGCGCGCGCTCGCTCGGCAGCCGACCCATGCCCAGCCGGCTGGCTGCACCGAGACAGCGGCACGCCCGTCCCAACACGCTCCGCCAAGCACCCCCAACGCCCGTGTGTCATCCCAGCGCCAATCCCGCGCTCTAGCCGACGCCAATACACACAGATACACAAACACACGCACGCGTGCACGCGTGCGTGTTGTCAAGTCGCCACGCCCATGCGCGCACCCGTCATACCCAGCAGGCCGCCGCCGTCCACCTTGTGGGGATCCTTCACCTCAACCCTCAACGGCGCCGCAGCCGCCGCAGCGCCGCTGGCCGGCGGCTCTGGCAGAGCGTCCCACGGCTGCGGCGTGCCAAAGCCAGAGGGCGGCCCAGACAGCGCGCCGCCACCGCCACCGCCGCCCGTCGTCGTGCGAGACAGCGCGCCCCCCGCGCCGCCTGCGGCAAGCGGGTCGGACGCGGCGCCCGCGCCGCCGCCGGCGGCGGCAGCCTCCCGCTGCTGCAGCTGCTGCTGCAGCTGCTGGTGCTGCACGTCGGCGGGCGCCGCGGGCGCAGCAGCCGCGTCGCTGTATGATGGCGGGGGCCCCAGGGCGCCGTAAGATGTGAACGGGTCAAAATGC